CAGGCTGCGCTTGGATTTGCAGTTTTCCTGCCTCAGGCTCCCAGAATCCCAGGACTTTTGGGGCCACCATGCCCAACTCCAAGTGATTCTCTTTAGAGCCCTTGCCTCCATCACTTGTCTTTTGAGATCATCTTCTCTACCAAAATGAGAAGGGAGGGAAAAAGCTCGTATCACAAGCACTCGGCACAATGGCCAGTGATTCCTAGTTCGTTTCCCCCTCCTTATAAAGACCTTTGTGTTGTGGAGAGAGCCAGGGATGGTGGTTGAGGGGTCACGATTGGAGAGGGACTGGTTCTCCTGCTCATATAACCAACCACGAGGGAAAGTGTCTGGACCCAGGCACTTCTTGGCGCATTGGCAGTTCTTAGAAAGTTGGATTTACGTAGCACTTCTACCATCAGCACCTTCACTGTCATTGACAAGAGGGGAAAGATGGACTCACAAGCTGCACAGTATTCCATTGAATAGTGCTTTCAAATATGTTTAACCTGGTTCTCCATTATTGGATGCTTAAGTTCTCTTTCCCTTTTGTGCTGCTACAATCAGTGTCACAGTAACACTTCTAATAGTTAACTTCATTTCTTCTTTTTTAAGCTATTATTGTTGTTGTTGTTGTTGTTTGAGGCAGGGTCTCACTATATAATTCAGGCTGGCCTTGAACTTACCATGTAGCCCAGGCTGGTGTCAAACTCATGGCGAGTCTCCTGCCTCAGCCTCCCGAGTGCTGGGATTACAGACTTGTGCTACCGTGCCTGGCTACCATCTTTTCTGTAGGTGAAATTCCTATGCACGAAAACCTAGGTGTTATAATAAACATGTTTTTAGTGCTTTTGTTACAGATTACCTACTTGTCCTGAAACCATGTCCCAGTTTTACATTCCTCCCAGGAGTATGAGAGTGTTTTTTTCACCATACCTGAGTTTGTATGGGGTATTTGATCCATTTTCCTAACTCTGCCATTTTGGCTGGAAGAATGGCATCTCATGATTTACTTTCCATTTTTTATTTCTTGTAGGAATGAATGGTTTTATACATGCTTTTGCCTGTTAAACTATCTTTTTATGCAATTTGCCTGTGCAAATCTTTTGATAGTTTTTCTATTGGGGTAGTCAACTTTTTTATCTATTGGAATTTTTTTTATACATTGACAGTATTAGTCATATGCCGTAAGTATTGCTACTGTTTCTAGTTCTATACTGCCCTGTTTACCTTAATATTTTCTGTTATTCATAAGATTACTTTTTTATGTGTTTAGATTAAGTGACTTAATTCTCTACATCTCAACATTCTCTCTGTGAAAATGAGATGATGTAATGTAAACTAGAAGTGGTATAGGTAAATTGCTACATAATAGTTGTTCAACAGATGATGAATGAAAACTTCTGTTATTCTCTGTGTGATACTAAATAGTTTAGAGTCTTTTAAAAATTTTACTAGAAATACAAAAGATATTCAAAAATGTTTAAAATAAATATGAAATGCATTTAAATAAAACAAACTTTTAGACTAGTATAGACAGGCAGTTTTTAATTTTTCTCTTTACTTCTCAGACTTAAAAATATTTATTGAATTCTGGTCTGGGGATGTAGCTCAGTGCTAGAGGACTTGCCTACCATGTGCAAGGCCCTGGATCAATCCCCAGTGCCGCAATACATAAGTAAATGATAATAATCTTCTTAAGTGGGAAAAACTGAAATCTGAGTGGAATGTGAGAAGACTAGTATGTTCTCACAAGCTATTTGTTAAGGAATTTTTAATATATACATTTCTGGTAAGAATTTCTTCCACAGTATCCTTATTTATTTCATATCAATTTAGATATAACTGAAAAAAAAAGGACAAAAGCATGCACTAGCCACTCCTACTTTTTAGACTTTATGAATATGGGCTTCCTTTCCTGCATCCATATCAGTAGAATTTAGTCCCTCAGCCAACTATGATGGTAACAGTTTTAGGCTAAATAGGCTGCTTTTATAAAGTGCTTTTATTTTTAGGCTACTTAACACCAACAAAATTTTGTATTTTATAACTTCTGGCATGTATTTATAATAGTAGAATTCTTTCTCCTCCTCCTCCTCCTTCCTCCTCCTCCTCCCCATCCTCTTCCTCTTCTTCTGCTTCTTCTTCTTTCTTTCTTTTTTCATACCAGGGATCAAACTCAGGACTTTGTGCTTGTGTGGCATGTGGCGGCACCACTGAGCTAAATCCCCAGCCTTATAGAATTCTTATGACACTTACAATAAAAATGGATGTCTTTCTTTGAAAAATGCAATATATGTATGTTTCAGGGTTATTTAATAGTGTACTGTAGTTTTATATCTTGCCTTGCCTTGTACTTCTTTCAGTTCTGGAAGATCTGTGTCTAAGCACAATATTGTCACACTGTGCTGTATTGCTGCTGAACTAAATATACTTTTCCCCATTTGTGGGGCACTGGCTTCAGACAGTTCCACTCAGTATCATTACTTTTAAATTCATCTTTACTATCTTGGTAGTTGGTAATATGATTATGGAAAATAGGCACATTGCATAGAAGCCATTGGAAATTCCATGGAAATTATGTAAGATGTAATGTACTATTGGATATATTTTCTGTCTCTTTACTGCCTTTAAGACTAGCAGAATTGTCAATGTGTGCTCCTTATGTAGGGCTCTTTACTTTTGGTAGTGTTGGTTTAAGTCATTTTATATTGAGGAGATGGACAGAGCAGGTGCATTCTAGATATCATACAAAAAACACTTCCAATACAGTGAATAACTATTATATATAATTACACATAGCTGCTTTTTCTCCTGTTTAGTTGGGCATTGTCTTCTAAACAAAACTTTTTTTAAAAATTAAGACTATAATATTAAAAGAAATTTGGAGTGTTGTGCTTTTTTGGAAGTCAAATTCAAGACTAGACTTGAGGTCAAACCTATATTCTCAATTGGCAATTTTATAAGGAGCAATTAAGAAATGGAAGGCAGATGAAGATATAAAATCCTACAATTCTTACATGTGCTGTAAAACTATTGTAGGTGTCACTGGATTTCTATCTACTGTGGCTTTTCAGTTAAAATTTTATTTATAAAAGGAATTTGTTTATTACAGCTCTAAAAAATTTTGTAATTTCATGTATAATTTCGCTGCATGTGATATCACATATAATCCTTTCACAAATGACTAAAGATGTAATCTGAATATAGTGTTTAGAGCCACATGTTGCTACTGTGTTACATTGGAGCACAGGGTAAAAAGGAATAATCACCGGAGAAGCTAGGAAGCAATGATTTATTTGCCAAATATGTTCTGGAGACTTTCACCTCTCTTGATTATTTTTCAGAATTTAGTTCTCCTTGTCTAATAAGTAAGCCTATGATTCTAGCCTAGGGAGAAGTTGACTTTCTAAAAGCCAGTACGTGCCCTGGGTGACTAACATTGCTCTCTCTTATTTTCTCCCCTATGTTGGGGATTGAGCCCTGGTACTCTACCACTGATCTACACTCCTAACCTGTTATCTCCTTTTTATGTCCCTTTAAAAAGTAGATCACTTCTATAAAAGTTGTGCTTGTGTCCACCTACATTTTGAAATGAACATTGTTCCAAGTGAATTCACAAGAATAATGTCTAAGCATACATGTGCTTGGTGGGAGCCCTGACATTCACATTGACTCGTGTGATGTGTTTATACCTTTAAGTTTGGTTTTGGTCTCTGTTATCACTCTGATACTTCATTTGATGTATTATTTTATTCAGATGTCACCCAAGGCTTCATTAAAGACAACAGTATTTCTCTTACAGAGTTAACCATTGCAAATACTATTTTTAAGATCCTTTGAGGTGGAGTGGTTATTACATGGAACACGACAATTTCAGACCCTTCACAATGGCCACACGCTTTTTTGAATTTTTAAGGCATTTGCTGTAGAACACTGGAAGAATTGGTTGTGTGTTAAATGCCTGCCACCTGATAATTACCTCAAAGGACAATGGTTTTGTTTAGTTTAAACTTAATCTAAAAAGAAAATAATCTGTTGTATTAATTGGCAGTAAGACTTTATTAAGTGGATATTTTAGAATTTAGTTCCATTCCTTCCACAACTAGTTAAGAGTGAATTGCATGTCAAAACTGAACATATTGGCAGGTCATTCTGTATAAGTTTGTATGTAGAATCAGAGTAAACTTACATTTTCACTTGAAGCTTTTTTTTGAACAGTGTTTCTTCTACCAGTTATTTTATTTTATTGAATGTTAATTTATCAGCCTCTCTTAAAAAAAGTGAGAGGAAGAAAGGCCATAGCATTATCACATTTCTATATATGTGTTCCCTAAACCATATGGTGATTTCTAATTAGAATACAAAAGATTGTGTGGTGAGACCAACTTCATAGTAGCTATGATGGTGGGCACTACAGAGTTTTCTGGAATTTCCAACAAGCACACTTTTGAGAAAAAACTGTGGTTTATAATTGTCCATATACTAGAAGTCTGATAAAGTTATTGATGTGCAGATCAAGTTGGTATTTCAAAGCTGGTAATTTAATTCTGGATATTTGATCCTCTCAGTCAGCAGCTTGACTTGATTTTTCTTTTTTTTTAAAGCAGCTTCAATATTTAATTTCACATGTACCCTCTCAGTAGAGATTTCAAAGGATACTTTTCTGGATGCTTGACTGCCTTGTCTATTTGCTCTTGTTTTGCATGCAAGAGAGAGCCAGAAGCTTTCTTCTCATTGTGTACACATAGTATTAATGGATTTACTCTGCCTGTATCATCTCATTACTGGAAACAGCTAGAAGCACAGAAGTCTTTCAGTGTATGCAAATAAGGCAGAATCATCTACCTGAGAGTTAATATTCTCTGCTTTTAAGTGTATTCTAAATCTAATGTTTGTATTTAGAACATAACATCCTGTTCTCTTTTTTTATGGGCAAAAAGCTAAGCGGGCTTAGGCAGCTGTTTGATGTTGGCTTCAAGTGTTATTAATTTCATATTCTATTATTCTTTTCACTGTAGCACAAGTGAAGCTGATGTGGAGGCTGTCATGGATAAGTTGTTTGATGAGCTGGCTCAGAAACAAAATGATTGTACGTAAGTTAATTTCTCTTGAAAGAGAATACATTTAGAACACAATGCCCAATCTCCACTGACCAATTAATAAGTTCCATTGCTGTATATGGGTTGATGCCACGCTCAAGTGGCAGTCATTGTATCAGCATTTTGTCTAATTTATGTGTTGAATCATGTGCTATTATTCATCAAGCTATGCATTTCCTATCTGTAAGAGATGAATTTTATAGTAATTATCCAGACAAGATTGAGTCTTTGTTCATGTTCCCATAGTAACTAGACCAAGGATTCTAAAAGTGCAAGGCAGAGAGCTGCGGCTGAATAAAGCCTGTGGAACCATTGCCGACTGCACATTTGAAGAGCTGTGTGAGAGAGTAAGTACCCAGGCACGTCCAGACTCATTGGCCTTTTCTCATATTAAAATACTTCAAGTTTCCCTCTCTGCCTGTTCAGATTTTAAAATACTATTCAGAGAGTCAGAACTGGTTGAAAAGTCTCATTAAGGGAAACACTCATCTATATTTGCCATGTGCTTTTTATAGATATTGGCACAAAATTTTGCTCCTAGAGGAACTCTAAAGCAAAATTAGAAGTTCAGAGAAAACTCAAATACTGCTGCAAGCAAAAATAAAATAACTTCTAGTGCTAGTTTATAAAAGTCAAACATAAGGGATTAAAAATAATTAGAGAGATGAGGTTAGTATGTGGAGAAAGGAAGATGCAGAAACGTTACAATTATCCAAGAATGCAACACATAAACAATCCCCATTCTTCACACCCGCTGTCCATCCACTGTGCCATAAGATCTCACCTGTTGAGGCCAGGGTCAAAGAAAGAGAATTTCTAAAACTCAAACATCTATATTGGATCATAAACAGTACGTTGCACAGATAAATATGTACACATACATACATTCATATAAGTAAGAAAGACTAGGTTGCAGATTCATTATAGATACGAATTCTATCTTTCAAAGTTTGAGAATCTCAGTACTCAGTGGATATTTAGTATATTTACTGATTGTAATTTTTTGTTTGTTTGTTTTTGAGACAGGGTCTCTTTATAGAGGCCAGGCTGGCCTTGAACTCACTTTGTAGCCCAGGCTGGCCTCCAAACTCAAGGTGATCCTCCTGCCTCAGCCTCCTGAGTGCTGGGATTACTGGCATGTGCTGCCACACCTGGCTTGATTGTAATATGGAGAGCAATCCAAATTAGATATAACTTTTATATATAATTCCTGTATTGACATATATAATCATTCCAGCTCTGATTTATCTTGACTTTTATGTAACTAAAGAGTTTGCAGTAAAGAGGAAGAGGAAGTTTTTATTTATACTGTTTTGTGAGTATTTTTCTTAAAAGCTAATTACATAATTATTTCTGACAGAGTAAATTTGTAATTTTTAAACTAGAGAGATGAATCCCATCTGCGATCCATTAGCACTTCAGAACCCGTAATGTTTAGAGTCCTGATCAGTTAGGATCCTCTGACAGGGTGCTAATGCCAGTCACTCTGAGTGATTGTCTTCTGGCTGATATGACCCTCCAGATCTCTAATGGGTCGAGCTTATTAAGTTCACAGTAATCCCATGTCTCCAGCCAAAATTCTGTTAGGGCTGACACTTAGGTTTCACCCACATTGCCAGAGGAGAATCTTGTAAATATAAAAGATGAAGCTCTTCCTCCTGCTGAAGGACCCCCTGTGAGGACAGAGGAAGGACGCGTCCCTTGGCTCTTGGGAGAGGAGGCAAGGGTGGAGCAGATATGGACCATTTACCTATATTTTTCATATGCTTATTATTTCAGGAAATTTAGTATCAGAAAAAGGCCACTTAGAGACCCAAATCTTCATAGTTTATCTACCACATGGGGATTAGAGGAAGGTTGATAGGAACTTAATCTTAAAAATGACAGCAATACTTATAATGAATCACTTGTATGTCCTTTGACAAAAATATGGATTATAATAACAACTATGAACTAAACTCAGAATAAACAATGAGTAACTTTCTATTTTTCACTTAACTTTCTTGAGAAAATTCTTTGATGATTTGGCTAGTCAGTCATAGAAGAAGTTATTTTTATAAAAACATTTAAGAATTTCATCCATTTTTTAAAAATGTTCTTTTACATCATGATATTCCTGTTGTTTTCTTTTGACACTTTTGTGATGCTGTTGTTTTTCTGCTTCAAGTTGGACGGATCTTTGTCATGGATAGATTTACCCTTCATCTGCATTGTAATTGTGAGATGTTTACTGTATCAGGTGAGCTCCCAGACCAACAGAAAACATTGACCCAAATGATAAGGCTAGTTCCTAGCATTAAGTGGTGAGGGATATTTGAGGAAGGGCTAAATTTTTAAGTGGTCAGTTCATTTGTAACTATTTTCTTGATAGCATGATTTTGCATTTCTTTGCAGTTTTGTAATTGTAGCAATTCAGATATTGAACATTTGCATGAAGAGGACCCTTGAAATCATTCAATTTCGGATGTAGCCTAAACCTCTTAATTAGTTATAATGATCTCAGAGCCAGGCTAAATTATTGTCCAAAAGTGTTCAGTAAAGAGAAAAACCAAGGTAAAGAAGCAGGTGTCTGGCATATCCCAGACCGTCCCAGCCTTGGAACACCTTGGCTAGTTTTCTGGGAGGCTCTTGACGCTTGAGACCCAGCCAACCACCACTACTCACATCATCATGAAAAAAAACTTTGGCAAGGGGTAAATGGCTTCATAGTCTGTAATGGTTGTTTTTGAACCCTGGCCCTTTCCAAGGAAAGAATAATATATTTATAAACCTTGGAATGTATTGGGTAGAAACTTCACTGTTAGTGTCTTAATAAGGAAAAAGGAGGTTTCATCTGGCAGTCCCTGACATTTGCCATGGATAAGCCAAAAAGGACCCCGGATACATCTCTTCTTTTGCTTGTCCATACACAGTTTCTCAGATCTGCAACCCTGTCAGCTGATATCTAGCTTTTGATAGCTCTCCAGATCTTTTTCTTTGCAGTTCAGCTCCGTCATCCTCAGAGAAGTAGCCTCAATGAGTAGGCCCCTGGCTGCTGCGTAGTAATAATTAACAGTGCCACCCATCAGGCATCATTCTAAGTTCTTTTTATATATTAGTATATTTAATACTTATGTAGATAGTCACTATTATTGTCTTCATTTGATAGGTGGAGAAATTTGAACTCCTTGGTAGTCTGGGTTCCAGATACCATGTTCTTTATTACTTGTCATGTCTGAAAATGTTCTGAAAAAGTTTTGCCTCAAATCATTAATATAATTTGAATTGTGCCATGAACTCCAGTCAGATACTTTGTGAATTACTACATCTGAGCTAAACTTTGCGATTTTCATTGAACATGACGTTGGCTGGAGATGAGACACCCTCCAGGCCTAAAACACACTCTGTGCCAAGAAGACAGAACTGTCCAGCTCACAGCTTTGGCATTCCCATGGGGAATTGGTACAGCACCTGACCCATGTCCTCCTGAAGGCTGTGTATGGCTTGCACCGCCAGCTGTCTTGGGCTCTCAGGCCTTACCCTTTAATAAGAAAATTACTTTTCTTTCTCTCTGCCATGATAAGGAAAAGGTTGGGAGGTGCTTCTGCAGAGAACTGGGGGAGGGTAGAGGACAGTGTGCTTGGGTGGCCTTTGTTCCCCACCATTCCTTCCATATCAGAGCTGTAGCTACAGGAAATGCATCCAGATCATCTCTGTGGACATGACAGGGGATTCTGTGTTTCCTTTCTTAACTCTAACCTTGGCACTGAAACTTAGTTTAATCAGAGGGTCGTGATTAGAATTGTGGTTACTTAAGTTAGTGGTTCACAAAGTGTGACTCATAGACTCCCCCCAGAGGTTCCTGAGACACTTTCAAGGGTCCTAGAGATCTAAATTCTTTAGGCAGACAATTCCCCCTCCTCACTGGGGTGCCATATACAGTAGTGGTGCAAAAGAAACCATGGGTAATCTTTTTCCCTTCCTTTCCTCTCCTGTCCATCTCTTGTTCCCTTTCCATTTGAAAAAGATCTCCCTACTTCCTATTATCGATCCTTTACCCATTTATTTTCAATTGGGAAGGGCATCAAGAGTTGGAGGGAGCAGGGAGGGATGGAAGACGAAGTAGACAATAAAGAATTAAGATGTGTTAATGTGTATGTGCCAACTCCCCATGACAAATGTAATCATGTACTGCAGACTTGTACTAATAAAAATACATAATTAGTAAAAATAAAATCCTACAAAGTTAAAAAAAAAAAAAAGATAAACTATGGTAAAACTGCTGAATCAAGCCTGAATCAAGACAGTGGCACCAAACCCTATTCTGTATCAAATCCCTCATTGCCACATACTCATAGTAGACCAACAGCAGCCAAACCAACAAAAAACTAGTTTCACTTTTGTTCTTGAAGTAGCAGTAAAAGTTATAAATTTTGTTTAATTTCAACCTTGCGGACATGTCCTTATAATACTCTTTACGTTGAAATGGGGAGTATGCATAATAAAACATTTCTACTATGTGCAAATATGATGGTTGTCTTGAAGGAAGCACTCTGTAAAGTGGAGGGCAGTTGTTTGAGTTGCAAGGTGAACTAGCCGATTTTTTTACTACAGAATACCATTTTTTTATTTAAAAAACTGAATGACAAGGGCCAGGGATTTAGCTCAGCAGTTCGGTGGCCTCCCTTGCAAGTGCAAGGACCTGAGTTCAATTCCCTTTACCAAAAAAAAGAATGACAGACAAACTATGGTTATTTAGGTTTGCCAAACATTTTCTGTGTTTGACAGATATTTTCTTGAAAATGAATGAAGTAAAATTATCATTATAGTAAAACAGAATATTTGTTACCAGTAATAAAATTTGAGCAAACAGTAAAAAGTAAGATTCTGGAAAACTTGTTTCTGCCATCACAAATTTGACAGTTTCCCAATTCTTTTTTTACCCCATTATGTTTATTGGTACATTTAAAGTAGACAGCACAGTGACATTTATCATTGGGATCTTTTACCTTTACATGATATATCTTGGTTCTAGTTTCCCAATTCTTACACATGTTTTTTTTCTGATGTGATTGATGATGATAATCAACAAATGCAGTGTTTTGATAATTGTATAATTTAATATATCAAAATTGGAAGGTCTAACTTATTGAGCCAATGTTTTCCAATAATCAGTGCATACTCATAAAATCATTCATGGCAAAAAGATCCATTTGAAATATAAGAAAAACTAATGGAATATAACAATTCAAAAAGTATCTTATCTTTTTTTTTTGTATCAGGGTTTGAATTCAGGACTTTGCACTTGCGAGGCAAGCACAGCTCCACTGAGCTAAATCCCCAGCCCTTATTTTTGTTTGTTGATACC